GTAAACTTTTATTAAATCTAGAGAAATCTTGAAATCTTATTTACGTAATAAGAAATTTTACTCCTATTATAGACTTGGTCCCTAATTTTATTTGTTACACTAATATGATTGAATCGGAAATCCTTCTGGTCTTGTCTTTAATACTTATTGAACCATAAAATTATAAACAAACGGTCAGGCGCTGGGTAACGTCTTTCACAAATCGTTTTCCGCGTGGTTAGAAAGAACTTTTCAAAGTTTCGACTTTTCAAATAAAAAAAAGAGACCTTAGCACGCCAAATCCAAAGACCACGTAACTCATTCAGAATGGCTACCTTAAACACTAGGAACTACTCGAATACTTTTCTAGGTTTAGCGACTCAACTTGGAATATCCGGTGGTATCTTAGCATATTGTTTGTTACAGTTTGAATGGAATCGGCGTCGAAAGTCCATGACATATTTATATTCTCCACGTACAAAGCTTTCAAAGTGAGTCTTTTTTTTCCTGAAATATTGTGAAAAAAAAGAAATCTAAAATGTTTTCTGTCATATTAAATTAATTAAAGAAATGCATCACCACCGATTCCTCCTGGTCTATTTTCTTGGATCAAGGTTTCCCTTTCTTTAGACGAAGAATTTTATTTGAAGAATGTTGGTTTAGACGCTGTGATGTACATTCGATTCCTAAAGATGGCATTCCAATTTTTACTATTTAACGTCTTGATTGTTGGTCCAATCCTTCTTCCGATAAATTATTATGCTGGAGGCACAAATGAGGGAGTTGCTGGGCTTTCCATTAGCAATATTCCTAGTGGCATTAAAGATCCGTTATGGGCTCATACAATATGTACATACCTGGTGAGCTTAAGTTGGATGTATCTTTTATATAAAAATTATTGTGATTACATAGATATGTTTAGGCAGCATCTCTTAAACAGGGTGAAAAATGACCCGATTACTGCTCGAACAGTGATGGTTTCAAGGATTCCTCCTGAACTGAGAACTGAAGAAAAACTTAGAGAGTTTGTAGAAAAGCTAGGCTTGGGACCTGTTGAATCGACTAGAATGGTACGGCACATAGGCAAATTAGACAGAAAGATAAAGAGACGAGAGGAAGTTCTGCTAGCATTGGAAAAAGCTCACATACAACTCGCGAAAAAATGTGTGCAATGCTATTAAGAGACGAAAATTTGGAATAGCAAGTTGGCTATTTGGTCACAGAAATGACAATTCACACATGGCACTTGAATCAGGTGAGACAAAGGAACATCAGAGAATTCAATCGATCGTAGAGTGGCTGGATGTGCGTAAACGGAAACGGACTAATAATATTGGAAAGCAGGTTTCGTCAGATCAAGATAATTTTACTACAAGAAATGCAACTGTAACTACAGCCAGCACCTTTACTAATGAAGATATTATGGAACAAGAGGATGGATATGGTCATCAATTTCTCATATGGAATTCCCTTGGTCAGATATCAAAAAAAATCACTTGATAAATTTCAGCCAATACGCAGAGTAGGATTTATGGGAAGTGGAAAAAGTGTTTTGTCGATCGACCATTTCATTAAAAAATTCAACTATTTGAACCGTCGCATTGCAGAACTAAGATCATTGCCAATAAATGCAACACCATATAAAGCAACAAGTACTGGCTTCGTAACATTTCGGGATCATATTAGCGCTCAACTTTGTGCACAAAGCATAATGTATTCAAAACCACATACATGTACGACAAAAATGGCACCGGAACCAAGAGATTTACTTTGGGACAACTTATTTATGAGATTTCGGGAAAAAATGATACGTACTGTTATCGTAAATATATGCGTCTGGTAAGTCATAATTGTAACGATACGATGATTATTAATAAGTATTAAATTTTCGTATCCCCCTTGGGAAAACATCAAATAGGGCTTTGACATTATTTTGGCTTTTTCCAATTGTTGCTTTTCTTACGTTGACATCTATCGATTCACTTTCCCGTCGTATTCAATTCTTGGGTCCGTTTCTAGAAGCTGCACCTATAATCCGGACCTTGCTTCAAAATGTATTGCCAACAGTACTGGTTTCATTTTTCATGGCAATTTTGCCCTGGATTTTAATGGGTATGTACAAATGAAATTTCTTTGGACACTTCATTCATTCTAACCCAAGTCTTTCTCGCCTTTCACCAGAGCTTTCAAAACAAGAATACTTTCCATCTTACTCAGCTTTGGAAGAGGCGGTCCTTGTTCGACACTATTACTTTACTCTCTTCAATGTTTTCGTAGTATTCTTGTTGGGAATTACCTTTTTACAATCAATTTTCGATGTCATAAACAGTCCGACAAGTATTTTCGAGGTTTTGGCAATTAGTCTGCCGCAGGTAATTTTCCAAATCAATAAGAACATACAATTGAGAATTTCTAGGCAATTATTATAATACCTAATGTAAACCATCTTTTTTTTTTTCGATGAAATTAAATCAGGGTGCAACTTTTTTCATCAACTACGTTATTTTCAATACATGTACCCACGGACTAGAACTTGTCCAAGTCGGATCGCAAATTTTCCTTCACATAATTCTTACCTCCCGATTTGTAGCAACTACTCCACGTATGCTGCAACGCGTAACCCATCCCTGGGCTTTTCAATTTTATTATTATTATCCAAATCACATTTTAGTCCTCGTTATTACCATCACCTATTCAACCATCAACCCCTTAATTCTGGTTTTTGCCCTCATTTACTATGCTATTGCCCTTTTGGTATTCAAGCACCAATTTGCTTATTGTTACGTGCGCCGATATGAATCCGGTGGAAAGCTATATCGCCGAGTCTTTAAATATACCACTGATGGATTGATTATCTTCCAGATAACCGTCATCGGTATGATCTGGTTGCGCACAGCCATTGTTCCTGGAGCCTTTCTTATTCCGCTTTTAATAGGCACAGGATATTTTAAATATTATTGTCACAAAACCTTTTACTCCAGGACACATTTCTTGGCTCTGGATACTAGGCTTGAGGTAGACCAAGATGGTCAAGCTGGTGTTGATGTTCAAACGGAGAAGCCTATTACCCAATCACCCAAATTATCCCAGGATAATGATGATTTAGGTGGAGGCGTGAGCACTAAACCAAAAGAGAATACGGAATTTGGGGTGGGAAGCATGTTTGGGAGGAAATCCACAAGTGACGGATTTCGTAGATTAGAAACAATCTCAGGGAATGCTAGTGAAGGTAGCACAAAGGATAATGTTCCTGAAAACAATCCTACTTCCTTGGAAAACAGAAGTTTGATTACTATGCAGACAAACAATCAACTAAAGGAAAAGATTAATAACAAAAGGGATAGCAAAAATGTGTTACTCAGTTCTACGGAGAACCCATCTAGATTTGAAATATCTATCGAGAACCCTGAACAAAAACGAGGTGTTGATTTCGAATGTACAGCCACAGCCATTCCGGTTAAACAATCTCAGACAATCGATGTAACGGAAACCTCTCCCGAATTAACTTCATACAAAAAAAGAAATAACAATGGAAAAAATAGATAATGACAATGCTTCAAACAGTGTGGCCAGACCGAAGATGAAGTTGTTAATTCCACCCGCGCTCAATGCTCCTTTTGTCTCGTCCCCCGACAGTCTCATGACGAGTGCTCATCGTGTGTCTTCATACGGAAACTTCCGGGACGCTGTGCGTTTTACGCATAACCCTGACCAAGATGATGTTTCGCAATATGCGACATACACACATCCTAATCTCGTAAAAGCCTTGAGCCGTAAACTTTGGTTACCTCGTAATCCTTTCAAAAAAATATGCTTGGACGATACAGTTGAACTATACAGAGCATTAACTTCGAGCGAAGGTGGTTCTGGAGTAATTGGATACCTTGGCGAAGCCAGTACATACTTGGGCGAAGCTAGAGTTAGCATTTACGGAGAACACGAATTTCCTATTTCTCCACTTCATCAACGCTGTGCTACTGGCGAATCTGATGTTCGAAAAATGAGGTCCGCTGAAGCCATTCATGATGGTAATAATGAAGGCAGTAATGAACATTCGCCTTTTGATTGCGCACTTTTTTCACCCGATGAAGAGGGGGTTGTAAGCTTAGGTGAGTTTGTAAGTGGAGAGTTGGAGTCAGGTGAATTGACAAGCGGGGAAGAATATTAGCACGGAATAAAAGCATTGAGTTGAAAACTTTCTATAGATTGTAACATATCACGAGATATTTTCAAGTACGGGTCTAGGGCTCGAGTTGAATTTTTTATTGTAACATATAATTTTAAAAAAGCACTAGAATTAATTTTAAAAAATAAATTTTACTGTCTTCGTTCACACTTTTTAATTGCATATATTAAAATTAGTGTAAAAATTATTAAAAAATTTAATTTTCTAATCTTTTTATTATTACTTTCAAATTAATGTAAAAATTATTTTAAACAAAAAGTAGTTGATATTATTAATATTCTTAGCTCATTTGAGCCTAAGCAACTTAAAATATAAATTTTCGCTTTTACATTTGAAGCTTATCTAGGCAAAAGGAAATAAAATTAGAAAAGTATTTATTTTATGTCTTTCGTCCTAGATATTATTTATCTAAGATGCTTTGTGTTTACCTAATAGAAGAAAAAATACAACTTTAAGTTTGATAATTGATTTCATTACATGTCATCACATTTTTAATCAAAAAAAAAAACTGATGAAATCACTATTAACAAATGTTTTCCAGTAATTTTTTTATTATGTGTTAAATTTTTGCTTTCGATATTTCAAATTATTTATATTTGGTTATTATAATCAAAAAAAAATTTCTTTTAACAAACTTGTTTTCCACCCATGAAACAATATGGCTTTTTCTACAAAAAATAATAATAATAATAATAATTATAATTATTTGCATAACTACTTAATTTTTGAATTTTAATAAACTTTTTTTTTAACTAAAAATTTATATAATCTAAACTTTAAAATCATTATTTTTTTTTTAATTTAGACAACTTTATAAAAAATTATTTGAATATGAATAGTTCAATTTATTATTAAAAAAAAAAATTTTGAAATTGAAAATTGAATAACAATTTTATTATATAATTATTCTAGTAACTATTTTATTAAAATTTTTCAAATAAAAATTTTTTTGATATGAAAAATCTCTAATCTAAGCTTTAAGATAATTGTTTTGTTTTTTTTATTAAATTAATTTATATAATCATATACTATACATATACAGTATATCAATATTTTGATTTTATTGAAAAAATTAAAATTAATATAACTAATTTTTTTTAATAAAACGAATTATATGATTAATTAATGTGATATGATAATTTATTATCCAAAGAATTTAGGAATTATAATTTTAAAGTAATGAATTTTATATTTTTTAAATTTTAATTTACATTCAAAAAAATAATTATCAGTTTATTATATAAAAAATATATATAAAATTCAATTAAGTACTAAACATCTTGTGTAATTCTTGATTTAATAAGATGATTATTTATTAAGATGAGGTAAATGCTAACTAATTTTGTTTTTTTGTGCCACATTATACAGTATATCTTTTTATTATATTGTATTGACACATTCATTGTAGTAATTTCATAATTTGATTGGCATTCTTCTCATGATATGTACCAAATATAAGGCAGTGGTTAAAAGAGTTAAGCTACCTGCTTGGTGGGCAGAGGCCAAAGGGATTGGTACCATATATAGTAAAGTACTAATTCCTAATGTTACCTGCAAACAACCTACACCAAGGACGCCATTAATGGCTAAACGAGCCTGGGGTGGAAGATTAAGGCGGCGTGAATATAACCATAAGGCCACGATTGAGCTCAAAGTCGTCATTGCCTAAACACATAATTATCAACAATTAAATAATTAAATGAGAATATAAATATCGATATAACTTACGAGAACACGGTGATCAAATTGCACAGTTGTGGGGTTATCGAAAAAAATTTCGCCATAAACTGCTATCGCCAGTTTTTGAATAAATACTTGAAAAAAGTTCTGACTTTGGAGGGACAATATTTTGTCCCATATACGGAAATTCATTATAGATTAGACCTGCGTCTAAGCCAGCAACGAATGCTCCTTTCATAAGAGGGATCACGTTATTAAATATACAAAATTGGAGATGTAAGCGTACTATATGACCACTTACCTGACATAGAGGTCAAAAAATATCAGTCCAGCTAATCCAATAGTGCAAAGACGGAATTTTCTGAGTGTAGGATTCGAAAGAGTTTCGATGACGGCCTTTATTTTCAAGTCAAATATATTACTAATAGTGATAATTAGTTATATAAACATTTGTAATTAATTACCTTGGGGAAAGTCCCACTTGCAATTTTTGCATCTTGAACAATATTTAAACCAGTTAAAAGCATGCCCGCATAAAGAAGAAAAGCGCTGCCTAAATGTGCCGCCAGGCGATAATGACTAACACGAGCAACGGCCTGAGGCGTTGACAATAATTCCTCGGAAAGTCC